GCAGTGCCTGCATCGAATACGGAACCCAGATGCACGTAATTATGTACGATCGGTGCACGAAGCGGTCCAAGTACATCCGATACGCCACATATGTGCCCATCATGCTCGTGCCATGCCGCATGCCGCGCACGCTTGGTACCGTGTCCACGCCACATAATGAGTGCTGCAGTTTTGGAGGGTCCGAGGTTCAAAATGTGTCCACACCGTGCAAATGCGTCTGAGACAATGACCAGGCAACTGGACAGGGCCCCGTAAATCTGGTCAGCGGGCTTGATGAGGATCACGGTGCCGTCATCTGCATATGAGATATCGACCAAGGGGAGCTCTGCGGGGGGCCTGTCATCGGGGTCCTCGGCGTTGAGTGCTGTGAGGGATCTCTGGGTGGCCATTGGGAGCATGTAGGGATAGTCAGCGGTCAGAAGCTTTTCACGCACCTCCTGCATACACTCAGCCATCTGCATCTCGAAGAGCACATCAGCGAGAGGTTGGCCGGGGAAGAAGGAACGTTGAGGGAGCGAAACCTGTCCTGATCCTTCACACACGAACCAGGGTGCCTGATAGCACTGCTCGACCTGGGCGACGGTGTGGGGGTCGACGTCGGATCGGGTGAGAGCCGCAGCTCTCTGTCGGAGTCGGTCGGTAAGCTGCTGCATGGCCGAGGGCGGTAAGCCTGCCGCACGAACAATGGCGGCAACCGATATGTCGTCGAGGTCGGATTCGCGATGGGCACGCACCACGAGTTCACGAATGGCCCTGTAAAAGGCCTGTACGACGTCCAGAAAGAGAGCACCAAATGATTGACGTCGGAGTTTGGCCAGCGACTGTGCAACCCGCAACACCAAAGACGCCCCCCCACCCCCCCCCCACATCGCCCCCACGTACCCGCCCCCGCCCTCCCCTCCCCCCCCGGCCCCCCTCCTCCCCTCACCCGCCGCACACACACCACCCCCCCCCCCCCCCCCCCCAAAACACCCCACAACCCCCCCACCCCCCCCCCCCCCCTCCCCCCCCCCCCCCGCCCCCCCCCCCCCCCCCGCCCCCACCCCCCCCCACACCTAGACCCGTTCCTCCCCGCCCCTCCCCCCCACCCGAAGCCAAAAATGGGAGTAGTCGGGACCGAAGGCATCGGCGAGACGCCTTGCCGAGTTGTGACGAGACCAAAATGGACCTGGAACTGGAGCACTTCGTCGGGTCGGCTTGCCCAGACTTGATAAGGTCCCGATAAAATCCACCTTTCCATTGAATCGGCTCTACCAGTGTAAGGGCAAACTTGAGCTGTAGAGGGTAGTAGTACTCGGCGATCAATGTCGGGTGAGCCTTCAAGAGGCCGCCCGCAATGCCATCGCATCCCGGGGCAGACCGTCGCGCCTGTCGGCACGAGAACTGGAACTCGGCGAGGGTGGGTATAGCAGACAAGTTGACAGGCTCGGCAGACATACGCGCATAGGGGGTACGCCCAAAGTGTCCTGCGAACGTAGGCACGTCTGTAACGGGCAACGTAGCTGCGTGCTCGAGTCCTGCGAAGTGCTGCTGCCAACGCTGTGCAACCTGTCGTTCCGATTCGATCGACTGACCTGCAAGATCCTGTAAAGCAGGAAGGACTCGCTCGAATCGACGTCTCTTAGACCCTGCACCGATCCGACGCAGAGCGGCATATGCCTCGGCAAACTGACGTCGGCCCCAAGCTGTACGCACCCCTCTGGCGATGTTGGCACAGTGCCAGGCCGACTCTTGCCCCGTGGATGTCTGTATGACGCACGCGGCCCCCCGAAGAAAAACCAGATTGAGTGCCAAAAAAACTCCGGACCACGCCAGGTAGAACCGAAACATCATATCCAGGTCATACCGTAGGTCCCTGGGGGCCTCAGCCAGCTCGTGCAACGTGGGGAGACGCCCAACGTAGCGCAAACCGATGACATGGTCGGTCGTAAACGGGGGTAGGCTGATTTTCCCGCTGGGCGACTGTAGTGGGACCATGAAAGCCTTCGTCGCATCCAGTACGCTGTCAGTCGCCTGCGCAATCCTACGGCAGCACTGTAGTAGAAGTAGGTGGGAGGGCCCGTCGCGATATGAGAACCTCCAGCAGTGCATCCTGTGACAGAACCATTCTCCCGCAGAGGCCCCGTCCGAGGCCCAAGCCACAAAGGCAGTAGCAAGCAGCAGACGCGTCAAACTGGACCGTAGGTATCGTAGTGCACGACGGCCATGCATGCGCTGATCCATGAGGTCCAGAGAGCCCTGGGAGAGCCAGCTATGTTGTGGCGTGCGGCCGGACGATGACGCTTTAGGCGGGAAGGCTAGCTCAGCCGCCGCAAGCAAGGCCGCATTCAAATGTGCTGCATGGTCGTCCGGGTGCATGGTGAAGGGGGGCTGGGGTACCATCTGGAGGGCCTGTGCAAAGGCCTGCTGACAGTCAGGGTCGTCATACTTCGATATGTCGTGTCGAGACCGAGGCCATAGCAAGGCAGGTTCGTACCGATCGGCATGGCACACACGCATGTAAGCAGTGACCACGAAGTGATCGTCCCGACGTAGCGGCAGATCGAGATCGACATCGACGCCCTGATGCACCACGCTGTTGATCTGTCCGATGGGGGTGGTAATGTAGTCGATGCGACGTCTAGGTGCTTGACCCTGGGCCCCAGGCGGTAACCATGTGCCGTGTACCCCAGAGTACGACGGCAAAAACGTAGATACTGCACACTGCTCGGTATCCCGAAGAAACTTATGGAAGCACATTCCATTGAAGTTTTCAACCTCGGGCGTCACATCACCCACTGAGTCTGACACTTGTGAGCCCACCGTGGCATTCGCATCAAGCAGGCAATGCAACGGCGCTGGCTGAACCCGAGCAGAGAGAACTGACGCAACCTGATCCCACCATCCTCGAATCTCGTCTGGTGGCCGACGGGAATGAGGGGCATGTCCAACCAACACGTCAACGCAGAGACCAGGAGCACGAATGGCAACTAGCAGATGGCGTGACGAGAAACTGAGCACACGTACATGACGGCGCGCCAAAGTGTGTCTACCATCATACTCATGCTGCATGTTAACCCACAAGGCCACTCCAAACTTCCCTCGATCCTCGGCAGCGGCAGTGATGACAGCATAATCCCCTGCTGGTGTCCAACCATTCCTGCATAGCCGTGTCTCAAGAGTGCCGACAAGATGCAACTGGCGAGACGAGAACTGATGTGCAAGAGCGAGCATTCTGCCAGGCATGTTGAGGCCGGCCGCGTCTTGGTTGCGGCATCTGGTCCTGCTGTCGCCTTTTCCCTTTGCTGCCATCCTGCGGGGCCGTAACGTAAGCACATTAGCCACGGCGAATCGTACCTGAGGCAGGGACAGCACGCCTGAGGGACGGGAATCACGAGGCGCACTCGTGTCTTTCGGGCTGCGACCAGCAGGCGGCGAGAAAGCAGTCTGAAGGTCCAGACGGGGAGGGGCGAGACGCGGCATTTCACATGCACCAACATTCGGGTATACCCCTGAGCCGACGTTGGCGCTGGCGGCAGCAAGCAATACTGACCACGGTTGAAAGTCTGCGTCTACAGTCGGCAACAGGCCCATAGAGGCAAGCCGTGCAATGGTATCTGCAAGCTCATTTAACGGGTGGGCGTTGTGTCCCAGGATGTGCTTCCAAGTGAGCGTCGTATACTGCCGTAGCAACTTCAAGGCACCGTCGAAAAGCCACGTAAAGTCCCCACATGACGCAAACTGGGTCCCACCTGCCGCCGTCGACACCACAAGCTGGTTGTCTGTGTACACCACAATGGGATACTGGCAAAATCTATCGTCGGCTTGCAATAACCATAGCACCAGCCACAGGCCTGCATGAAACTCGGCGGCACCCGAGGGACTGGCAACGGAGTTGGATAGATCGGGATCAATCCCACACAGGTAACCTTCACAAACATACCGTCCCGAGGTAGTAACTGTGAATACACACCATGCCCAAGACGGTGGCCCTCCCAAGGATTGTTGGCGAGACCCTCCAGACCCATCGGTATGGATTTCCACCCAAGCTACCTGCTCATCCTCTGAGGGGAGGGAGGCTCCGTGGGTATCAAAAAACGAAATCGTACTACTGTGAAGGTATGGGTGAAATAGACAGTGATCAGCCGTCTGGCACTGCCCGAGAAAGGCGGGGGAGAGAGAAGCACTAGATTGCCAAGGCTGACGTAGTTGCCTGACAAGCTCACTGCAGTCGGGAATCGGGCAGCGGGGCTGCCCAGGCTCGGACTCCATCCGAGCGTGGGGACGAGGCGACGTGGCTGGCCGATGGCCAGCAGCGGGCAGGCTGTGAGATGGCAGCACTGGCGGCTCAGGCATCTCACTCCCCGAAGCCTGCCCGTCATGTCGCATCACCCCAGGGAGGAGGGAGGAGGGAGGAGGAGGGAGGAGGGAGGAGGGAGGAGGGAGGAGAGAGGAGGGAGGAGGAGGAGGAGGAGGAGGAGGAGGACGACGACGACGACGACGACGCCGACGACGGCGAGCCATCCTGGCCTAGCTCTTCGCGCCACCCCCTGGTACGCGCCGCCACGAGGAGCGCGGGGGTGGGGATTGGGAGGCAGACACCCCCTAGTACGCGCCGCCGCGGGGAGCGGGTGAGGGGGATTGGAAGGCAAAGAAACGGCGCCGCGATCGTTGGGTCCAGACTCCGTCCGCGCCTCAGGCTCCGTCACCATGTTCTGCCCCCAGATCCTGCTTCACCTCCTCCTCCTCCTCCTCCTCCTCCTCCTCCTCCTCCTCTCCCTCTCCTCCTCCTCCTACTCCTCGCTCTCCTCCTCCTCCTCCTCCCTCCTCCGTCTCCATGTCCATTTCCTCCCCCTCATCCCCCCCCCCTTAACCTGCCGACTCCTCCCTCCTCCGTCCCTCACTCCTCTCGCGTTTCCTCTTCCTCCTCCCTTCCCCTCATCCCTCCACCTGCGGTCAGAGCCCCCCCCACCCACCCCCCCGCCGCCCCGAGGGGCTTGCGCTCTCTGCTGGGCCGGGGCCGCCTGCGGCGCCTGCTGCTGCTGCTGCGAGGCCTGCAGGTCCCCGTAATGCTGGGCGGCACCCGCCTGCTGCGCAGCAGCAAAGGCCTCGCACGAGCCCGCGAGCGGGGAGGGAGGGGGGAGGGGAAGGGGAGGGGGGAGGGGCACGGGGAGGGGGGGAGTAGGGAGGGTAGGGGGGAGGGGAAGGGGAGGGATGGGGGAGGGGAAGGGGAGGGAGGGGGGAGGGGAAGGGAGGGGGGAAGGGGGAAGGGAAGGGGAGGGGAAGGGGAGGGAGGGGGGAGGGGAAGGGGAGGCAACTGCTGGGGAGGCCTTCGTGAGAACGATCAGGGCCAAGCCGAATTACACCCGGAGGATCCCGGGACTGAGCCGCACGAAGCGGGATCAAGCGGCAGCAAACCGGATCCGACGATGATGACCTCCCAGGAGTTGTAACTGCTGGGGGGGGACGGGGAGAGGAGGCGAAAGGGGGGACGGGAACCACCCGAGGCCCCGCGCCGCGTCCGAGAAACTCGTCCTGGGGTGGCACTGGCACGGGGACAGGGCTGGGAGTCCCAGCAAGAAAGAGCACAGTCCGACGCAAGCCCGTGATAGGACGTGCCCAGCATGACAACAGGCAGAAAAAAGAGATAACCCAGGACACGCAAAGGTGCAGGGAAAGGGCGCAAGAGGAATAGCTCTGTGGACGGCACTGGGCAAGCACAAGGACACGAACAACATGAGAAGATAGGAGCGTGCAACACGAGTCCCATCGCAAACACAATGAATACAAGGCGTCAAATCATAGATAAGACCATAGAGGATCATACCCACACATGGCGTCGAGACATATAGGGCACAGGAAGGTTGGCACTATGCGTGCATGCGTTACGAATGCGTTGTACGCTAGCAGCTTCATACACGTACGTAAGCACATGTGCGTGGCATATGTACATGGGCAAATGAAAAAAAATAATTGCCGAACATGCGCATGTTGACATTGTATACGTGTCGCATGAACCACCTGCATATGTAGGGCAAGCGCTCTGGTATGTCTGTGGCAAATACTTTGTTCACTCACGACACATCCAGTTTCCAGAATAAGCCCAGGTACACGCGGGATGATGCACACGTGCGTGTGTACGAAAGACGTGCGACAAAACAATATGTACATACATGCGCTCGCGTGTATGAGAGAGGGGGCTTACATTGCTCAGACCCGCCGAAGTGCCGCGAGCACTTAGTGGAGTGTCCTCAAGTTCTCTTTGGTTTTGTGCTGGACATTGCGACTAGTCTGGAGGAACCAATAGGTACTGATACCACTACTTCCTAAACCTCTCTCAGTGTGCGCTCTAACCAAAATTTCGAGGCGAATCCAGCGGTGGCGACGAGGGCGTCTGAGGAGGCCCCGAAAAGGCGAAAACGAGGCAAGGGTAGCAGTATCTGTACTTTTTGTCCTCCTCTGGGTATCTGCTAGAGCCCGGAGCACCGAGTCACGGGCGCTCTTGGGCGCTCGCGGGAATGTCCGCATGACTCTTCCCAATGCCCTGGAAGCGTAGCCGGCGTCCTAATCCTCGAGAGGGGTCTAAGGTGGTCTCCGGGGCCAGTTCTGGCACTCTCTTGGAGGCCTTTGGGGCCGTCTTGGAGGCCCAGGGGGCGGGCTTAAGAGGCCAAGGCCGTTGAATATTAGTGTGTGCTGTAATAATTTCGCATGCTCGCATTTCAGTCTGAAGAGTGCCAAAGACAGCCCCAAAGGCCGCCAAGAGGGGCCCAAGAAGCCGTTGGTCCCAAGAGGGGAGCACGAACCGATATTTAGAAACCTTGCCCCAAAGATGGCCCACAAGACCGCCAGCGGGCCCTGAAGAGGCTTTCAACAGGCCTCTAGAGACCCTCACGACGTGCCCAAGAGGCCCCAAGAAACCTCAAAAAGCCCCCGATGGGCCCCCAAGAGGCTTCCAAGACGCCCCCAAGTGGCCTACCAAGAGGTCTGCGACCCAGGCACGGCGGCCGAGATGGATCAAAGCCCATTAGACATGAAGCCGCGCCGAAAAGCAGTAGAAACCTGATGTGGTATTCAGAGGGCAAAGGTGAAAGCAACCAGAAGCATGTGAGAACACATGCAAGCAAGCACAAGCAAGAGGCGCGTGGCAGCCAGAGGAAGCATGTGAAAGCAAGTGTCTAGTCAGTGGCAGCGGGGCTGGTCGGGGCTGATCGGCGCTATAACACCTAGCTACCTGGATTGTCGGATGGGTGAACACAGGGGCCGGTCGGGGATTGTCAGGTCTAGTGGTACGGGACTGTCCGCAGGGCAAGGCTATGCAGGTGGACGGAGAAGTTAGCCTGGCGAAGGACCCAACCATATGCAGTTGTGAGTAATGCTGGTGTGAGTACCGTCTTCGGTGGATCTCCCTATGGGGCCACGAACCGTTTGAGGGGTGTGCCGAAATGGGTGTGGGGGCGGCATGCGAACGTTGCCACTGGGGCCTTCGGTGGAGCTCCTTATGGGGCCACGAAACGTGTGAGGGGTGCACCGTAGTTGGTGTGGGGGCGGCATGCGAACGCAGCCACTGGGGCCTTCGGTGGAGCTCCCTGTGGGGCCACGAAACGTGTGAGGGGTGTGCCGAAATTGGTGTGGGGGCGGCATGCGAACCCTGCCACTGGGGCCTTCGGTGGAGCTCCCTATGGGGCCACGAAACGTGTGAGGGGTGTGCCGAAATGGGTGTGGGGGCGCATGCGAACCCAGTCACTGGGGCCTTCAGTGGAAATCCCCATGGGGCCACGAAACGTATGAGGGATGTGCCGAAATGGGTGTTGGGGAGGCATACGAACCAGGCCACTGGGGCCTTCGGTGGAGCTCCGTATGGGGCCACGAAACGTGTGAGGGGTGCACCGAAGTTGGTGTGGGGGCGGCATGCGAACGCAGCCACTGGGGCCTTCGGTGGAGCTCCCTGTGGGGCCACGAAACGTGTGAGGGGTGTGCCGAAATGGGTGGTGGGGAGGCATGCGGACCCTGCCACTGGGGCCTTCGGTGGAGCTCCCTATGGGGCCACGAAACGTGTGAGGGGTGTGCCGAAATGGGAGGTGGGGAGGCATGCGGACCCTGCCACTGGGGCCTTCGGTGGAGCTCCTTATGGGGCCACGAACACGTGTGAGGGGTCCCGCTCCAATCCACCTGTTAGTGCCGAAATGGAGTAGGTGAGGGAGGCTATTGCGGGACCCTGCCACTTAGGGGCCTTCGGTGAGAGCTTCCTATGGGCCACGAAACGTTGAGGGGTGATGCCGACACGAAGATGGGTGGTGGGAGCATGCGGACCCTGCACTGGGGCCTTCGGTGGAGCTCCCTATGGGGCCACGAAGCGTGTGAGGGGTGTGCCCGAATGGGTGGTGGGGAAGCATGCGGACCCTGCCACTGGGGCCTTCGGTGGAGCTCCCTATGGGGCCACGAAACGTGTGAGGGGTGTGCCGAAATGGGTGGTGGGGAGGCATGCGGACCCTGCCACTGGGGCCTTCGGTGGAGCTCCCTATGGGGCCACGAAACGTGTGAGGGGTGTGCCGAAATGGGTGGTGGGGAGGCCTGCGGACCCTGCCACTGGGGCCTTCGGTGGAGCTCCCTATGGGGCCACGAAACGTGTGAGGGGTGTGCCGAAATGGGTGGTGGGGAGGCATGCGGACCCTGCCACTGGGGCCTACGGTGGAGCTCCCTATGGGGCCACGAAACGTGTGAGGGGTGTGCCGAAATGGGTGGTGGGGAGGCTATTGCGGACCTGCCACTGGGGCCTACGGTGGAGCTCCCTATGGGGCCACGAAGCGTGTGAGGGGTGTGCCGAAATGGGTGGTGGGGAGGCATGCGGACCCTGCCACTGGGGCCTTCGGTGGAGCTCCCTATGGGGCCACGAAACGTGTGAGGGGTGTGCCGAAATGGGTGGTGATGATCGTGATGATGAGGATTGATGCTGATGATGATGGATGATGATGATAATGGATTATGATGATGATGATGATGATGTGATGATGATGGATGATGATGATGCTGTGATGTTGATGTTGATGATGATGGCTGATGATGATGTGATGATGATGAAGTGATGATGATGATGGATGATGATGCTGATGAAGATGCTGTGCTGATGATGATGATGATGATGATGATGATGGATGATGATGATGAGATTATGTGATGATGATGGATGATGATTGTGATGATGGTGGGGGAGGGGGGGGGGGAGGAGGCGGAGGTGAGGAACGCGGGGGCGCCGTTCTTCAAAACGAGGACCCCAACACCACAGGATGGTTGGGAAAAAAAGGAAACCCACTGGGGTTATCGGCGAAGCCGGAGAAGGGCAATGGGAACTGGTGATTTACCGTCCCAACCCCCCCCCCGGGGGGGGGTGGTGGGGGGGGTATCCCCCCCCCCCCCCCCCCCCCCCCCCCCCCCCCCACCCCCCCCAACTGTACTAAAAGTTCACCTTTACTTTATATTTAGGTGGGGTATTGGGTGTCTGGTTTGTTATTCTTCATATCGGTTTAGGGTTTATGTTCGGTTTTGTGTAGAAGGTGATCGGCTGGTTGAGGAGAGTGGCGACCGCCAGCGTTATGTAGCACCCGTATTCAGAAATGTCCCCCTGCCCCCGTCTCTTCTGCCGGGGCAATAGAGAACTAGCAGTCTGAGCAACAGTGGTCGGAGTTGGTTTGTAGATAAGTGTGTAGTGAGCTAATGTTTATCATCCTCCTCCTGCTCTCGCACGCATGCTGAGTCGAAAGCCTGCCTAGGCAAGGCCAGAGCCGAGGGAATTATCGAGGATCGACGTTCGATCAAAGATCGAGGATCGAGATTCGATCGAGAGTCGAGGGTTGAGGCTCGATCGAGAGTCAAATCCCTGAGAGAGCCCATCGAAGCTATCAGAATACGATTGGGGTCCAATTTGAATTTGGTTGGGATCTTACTGGGTTCACAGGGCAACCCTCTTGGGCTCTCAGTGGAATGCGATTGGGGTCGTGTTGGGATCCTATAAGGACATTGATGAGATCCCGCACTGAGAGGCCGGGGGCGAGATATCACTTCCAGGAGCGAAAAGCGACATAGTTTCGCCGAAAAGGGGGGGGGAGATCGTCAAGTGCTTCATTAGGTTACTCGGCGCGAGTGGCAGTTCCCTGGAGTGTCGGACGGGGCTGGTCAGGGCCAGTCGGAGCCAGTCGCAACTACCCGGATCGATGCTCGTCGGCGCGGCAGGGCAGTAGGGCTGGTCGAGGTAGTTTTGGAGGCGAGCCCAAGGGGAATTCTAGAGGGGGCAGGCCGTCTCAAAGGCGGCGTGGCTTCTCAGAAACCCTCGCGCTTGCTGAGAAACCCTCTGCGTTTTCGGAGGAAGCTTAGAGAACTTCTCAGAAGGCCCGAGGCCTTCCGAGCCTTCTGAGAAGGCCCGCTCCCTCTCACGTATCCCCCGGGCTCGCCGCCGACAGTTGGGATCGGCGACAGCTGCCGGGATCGCCGTCGGAGAAGGGCGACTCCAGATTGAGCAAACGAGGAAGAGGCAGTCTGGGCTGGCACTGCCCCCACCTCGCACATTCCTCCATCCCTCGCCTGCTGGATCCTCCTGCACCTGCAAGCATACGGTGGGCCTCCTGCTGCTGCAGCTGCATGGCGAAAAGAGCATCTGCGTCCCCACCCAGGTCGGCCACGGGCACCTCGCCGGGCAAACCGTCGGCGGGGAGGCGCTGCACGCTGCAAAAATGGTGCTCCTACGCGGCAGCAGTGAGCAAAGCGAGACCAACACAGACGCCAAAGCAGACAACAACCAACACACACACACACACCAAAACCCACACGCACACACCAACACACACACACACACCAACACACACACACAGTCGCTCAACCCAGTGGCAAGAACGAAGAGGCACTGGTGCGCGGGCCAGCCGGCGCCGCGCGAGCGCGGCGCTCCGCACGTGGACGGACGCACTGCCCGCGCGCGGCACCAGGCCCAGCGGGAGCCCCTGGGCCGCTCCACGGACTCCTCCCCCCCCGCGGCCCCCCCCGCCCCCGCCGCGCACGCCTCCGTGGGGAGGAAGAGGAGGCTGGCGGCAGCCGCTGCCCGCCCGGGGTGGGGCCGCCGGTGATGGGCCCGTTTTCCACCACCACCACCATAAGTTGGAGGGGGAGGTGGTCCTCCTCCTCCTCCTCCTCCTCCTCCTCCTCCTCCTCCTTCTCCTCCTCCTCCTCCTTATTCTCCTCCTCCTCCTCCTCTTCGTCATCCTCCTCGTCGCCCTCCTCCTCGTCGCTTCCCCCCTCCAACTTGTGGTGGCGGTGGTGGAAAACAAGCCCTTCAGCCAGGGGGGGCCCTACGTACGGGCGGCGGCAGCGAGGCGCCCGCCACAGGGGCCGCAAAGGGGGAGAGGATACCCACGGACTCCCCCGTCTGCAGCAGGCCCCCGGTGGCGCCCGCGGCAGGCAGCGGCGGCAGACGGCTTAAAGGTCAGAGGCTGCGTGGCACCGCCGCGCCAGGCGGCTGCGAGGCAAAGCCCGACTTCTTCTGATGTTTCTTCTTAGCACTGTTGATCTTAATATTGAAAATAGTTATCCCAGTGCGACCCTACCTAGGAGTTGGAACCCCTAGGAAAGCAACATTAGTAGTAACAGTAACGCTAAGCTAAAGCTAAGCTAAAGCTAAGCTAAAGCTAAGCTAAAGCTAAGCTAAAGCTAAGCTAAAGCTAAGCTGAAGCTAGCTAAAGCTAAGCTAAAGCTAAGCTAAAGCTAAGCTAAAGCTGAGCAACAGCTAAGCTAAAGCTAAGCTACAGCTAAGCTTAATCTAATATAAATCTAAGCTAAAGCTAAGCTAAAGCTAAGCTACAGCTAAGCTCAAGCTAAGCTCAAGCTAAGCTCAAGCTAAGCTAAAGCTAAGCTAAACGCTAAGCGAAAAGCTAAGCGAAACGCTAAGCGAAACGCTAAGCTAAAGCTAAGCTAAAGCTAAGCTAAAGCTAAGCTAAAGCTAAGCTAAAGCTAAAGCTAAAGCTAAAACTAAAGCTAAAGCTCCCAGGGGACTGGGGGGAACCGCTCCCAGGGGACTGGGGGAACCGCCCGGGGCGTGTTGCACTGCCCGGCCCCTTTAAGCTAAGAGAGTAAGAGCCCTTCTAGGCAGAGCCTAGGTAGGGAATCACTACTATGTTCAGTCTTCCCCTTCTGATTCTGATTCGGGTAATCCTTATTGTTTTTCGTAAAAAAACTATTCGACTGCAGGCTGCCCGTTTGATTCTCAAGAATCATTATCGCCGTATGGCGCAGAGGATGCCATGTCAGTGGACATGTGCTGGTTGTCAGCAAGAGGTTGATCAGATTTCGTGGTCTTGCCAGCGTCGGAGTCGCAACAATACTTGGAGGAAGCAGAATCAGAGAGCAGCACATGAACGGCGGCGTTAGAATGGGAAAGCAGCGTTTCAAGATGAAGTTCGACGTGCTGTCGATGCTCATGTGATGTCGACAGTCGCTTACGCTACAAAGCATGCTGCGTACGAGGCTCCTTCTTCTCGGGACATTGGTAAGTTCAAGCAGATGCTGGAAGAACAGATGAATCAGTTGGCGGAGGTGTTTGTCCAGGGTCGAGGGCTTGGTACAAACGTACATGTTCAGGAGAAGGAGCTGAGTGTTTTCCAGTCGAAGCAGTGGCAATGGAAACTGCTTCTTCTGCAGAGGACAGAGGCGAAGGCGAACATCGCCAGAGCCGATGAAACGCTAGTCACCTTGCATACGAAGTCGACGTTTATCCAGCATGATATCGTGTTCCGAGGACTCGATGCTGCCGTATCACAGAGAAGAAGATGGAAAGGGCGAGCAACGGCGACAAGTCGCCGTCGCGCTCCATACCGCCTCCTCCGCCTCCGCCACCACCTCCGCCTGCACCACCTCGTGGATCGGCAGCGCAAGCGAGGGGGCGATCAGCAAGTGCATCGCCAGATGCATCCGTAACCCGTGGTCGATGGCCAACACCTTCTTCCAGCGGGCCACCAGCGTACGAGACCAAGTCCGGGCCTGCTGCGAGAGGACGAGTATGGAAGTAGATTAGAAACGCCCACGACCCCTCCTATTCACCAATGTCAGTGTTACCTCGACCTTTGGTAACAGATGAGGCGAAGCATTACATTTGAACCGCGAGAAAATCATGCAAGGCGAAATGGAGGCAGTCAGCATTCGAGTGCGCGAGGTCGAAGCACAAGCGCGAGCGAGGAGTGCAGAGGTCACGAGTGAGAAAGCTCAGAGAGACAATCGGAGGAGGAGATGATGCACGAAGCATTGGCTATGATGGAGTATGGTGAATGGCAAGTCAGTCAACAAGCGGCAGCAGTGACACATCAGAACGCAGCTGGGCACAAGCAGAAGGCAAACAGATGAAGAGATACAGGTGGGTGGCTTTGCAACCTGGAAGAAGCAACCACATACGACGCGAGACCATGATGAATGATGAGAGAGGCAAGCTAGTTACCAAAGAGAAACGGGTTCAGAACTAGACGGAGGCCGTTAGCGAAACCAGCCGCAGTGGGACCACTTCGAAGTAGAGCAGGCCAAGGTGCTCGCGAACTACAGGGAGAATGAACTCGAGCAGCTGGAGCGTCAGAAAGCTGAGGTGACAGTACACTATGAGACGGGCTGGGCAGAGCTGGCTTCAGGACAGGAGGGGGCTGAACATGAAAGTGTTACAGCAGTGAAGGCAGGTCGTGAAGCTGAGGAAAGGACCCAGCATTTGGAGCAGGAGATCAGCTGCATGCGGCAGGCCAACACAATCTCATACGGACCCCAGCGGGGACTTCGGACACGTCAGGCCCCATACCGACCAATGGAGCAATGGAGACTGTTCGGAATCATGAAGCAAAGCTGGAGGTGATGAAAGCGAATGGGGAGAAGATCACAGCAAAACTGGACTGGAAAGGCGGAAGGCTCAGGAAGGAAATGACAATGATGCCGACCAAGAACACATGGATATCAAAGCGTGGCAGATAATGTACGGAACACCGTCGCCAGCAATTGCAACATCAGCATCAACGCGACGAGTAGATAAGTGGCTGTTGGATGAGGAGGAACCTGCCATGGCTGGCGAAGTGAAGAGAGAGCAGGAAGAGGCCGATTTCAACATGCGGGTGCAACAGCAGAGGTTATTTCAGGAGGCGGCAGCTACGGCAAGTGGGTCTAAGGCCCATTTGACCGCCCAAACCCCCACTGTCAAGACCCTCTGCCATGGATTTGTCGGCGGCGGTGGACACCACAGAGGTGGACCATAAGATCGAAGAGAGCTTGTTCACAAAAGAAGCCAGGGCTGAATTCGCCATGATCGAAGAGGAAGTTGCCATGGACGGGTACACCGAAGACGAGATCGGTGCGATGCTACACGAACAGGCCGAGGAAGCTGAAATACCGAAGAGGAAATTGCCATGGACGGGTACACCGAAGACGAGATCGGTGCGATGCTACACGAACAGGCCGAGGAAGCTGAAATACTGGCTACCGAGAGGGCTGTGAGGGATGCTCGCTGATTCGCTTTCCAAGAGGAGACCCTGCAGAAGCATGACGAAAAGGAAGAACAACAAGCTCAGCAATACCAGCGACAAGTACTGTTCGAAGAGGAAGTTGTGCGAGCTGAACTTCGGCAACGTGCGCAGGAGGTCCAAGGGAAGGAGGGCGTCGTTTCCATGGGGGGGTACGAATGGTGAAGATGTCCGTACTAAACGTCATGTCTCTCCATCGTCAATTTCACCATCAATAGATTGGACTAGCAGATCTGAATGTTTTCCACCTAGTCCTGCGCCAGCTCGTATTCCATTTCGAGTAGGGGGGCTGACCGCAAGCCCTAGCGTGCGGTCAGCCCTCGTTAAGGGTGCTGGGTATTTAGGGGTGCCGGGGGGGGGGGGCAGGGGATTCGCGTTTCCCCACCCTTGTGCGAGGGCGGCGGGCTGGAGGGGCCCCCCGTCAATCTCCCCGTCCAGGGCCTGCCAGGGCGAGTGAGGTCAGATTCCACCTCGAACTGGCAGACCCCACCCCAGGGCCCCCACACGAATCTCGATTTCCTGGATGCACACTGGCACAATAACCTACAGTTGTGGTGGGAGAGAGCCCTTCCCCGCCACATATCGAGAGCCTCACCGACACACAGCTTTCTTGTTCACCTCGAAGCCAAAGGGCTTCGCAGCTAAGTGTATCGGGTCATGGCCATTGCGCATGCAAGCGCCGTTGCCGATCAACATTGAGTTCGAGCGACACCCATGGCACATTCACTTGCGACGGGATGGTGGGCACATGAGGTTACATGAACATACGAGCCTCGTTTTACAGTACTGTCACCCTCTGTCAGCGCCAGCAGACAGAGTATACATCTTCGCCGACGGCGCATACTGGCCCATGGACCCGATGAAGTCGGCTAGGGCTTGTACAGTGGCGCATTCGAATTCAGAGGACTTCAGGTTCGAGGGTCTTTTAAACGGCTACACGGGATCAGCATCGAGGTCGCGATGGAGGAGAGCTGGGTCAACAGCGTGACCAAGGAAACGGCTGGGGTTCTCTGGGCCATGCTGCTCGCACTTCAGCTGCCATCGGGCTTGTTGTTGGAGGTGGCTTGCGAATGCCAGCCTGCACGAACACGCGCTTCGTCTGGGCTTGCTCAGCGAGAGCCCTTTGGGATTCAGGATGTCCCAATGCTTGGTCT